TCACATAATGCTGTTATAACCATAGCATATTGTTTCATAAAATCATATGTATCATTTGATTGTTGAATATTTATTATTGAATATAAATCATTATAATGTGAACCATTTTGAAATAAATATGAAAAAAGTTGTAATAATGGTAAACGTTCTTCATATTTACCTCGACGATCTGAAATAACACTTAAAAATTCAGCTGCTTTCATACGATGTATTGATGAATTAAGTAAATAAACAATTTTATCAATAATTTTTGTTGAAAAAAAAATTTCAATTGGAAGAAATGTTGCAAACATTGTTAATGCATATAATGCACTTGATATTGTATTTGATAAATCAAGAAAATATTCAATAAATTCAAGAAGTTTAGTACCATGTTGTAATAATGTTGTTTGAATATCTCGTTTACGTATGGAATTTAATGTTTGAAGAACAATAACATCTTCAATAAGATAAGCTAATATTAATAATGAATAATCATTTGTTGAATTTAATTTTGATAATGTAACAAGTTCATCAAGAAATAATGGCCATTGTTGAGGCCATTCACGTTTAGCTATTTCACAAACACAACGAACTAAAATTCTAAATACAAGGTAAAAAAAAAATTTTTTTTTTTCTTTCGAATTAAATTTTCTTTTGTTTTAGTATTCATTTGGCAGGTGTTTCGCATCACAAAATAATGTTCCATCTTCTCATATGATATAATATCATAAGATGGAACACTTTTTTGATAGCGAGAAACACCACCTTTAATTATTATCACATATTTATTGTGAAGCATTTACTAAACGAATACCTACGTTTTAAGATGAACAGGTAATTGATCATGTTCAGTCATTAATAACCACAAACGTTCTTTAATTGATAATTTTAATTGTGAATCAAGTGATGTCCATTTATATTTTATTGTTTCTTCAATACATTGTAAACCAAAATGTTTAACTAATGGATTAAATTGTTGATTTTTATTAAAAAAATCAAAACCAATTGAAATGGATTGTGTTGGATTTGATTTAATTTCTTCAACAAATGTATATGCTTGTTGACGACGTATTGGATCTGATGATACACATGATAGAACAGCTGTTTCAATTTGACGTAAATAATCGATATTTGTCATTGATCGAAAAGACAAGACAAAAAAAACATAAAAATTTAAATAAAATATCAAAAAAAATTATTTTGTAATCCGAAATCTATGAATGAATCATCCCTTTTCATATTTCAATTGTTTTTATTGGATTAAAATTTTCACCAATAAAAAATTTGTTATTTGAATATACATAAGAAAATATTGATTGGATATTAAACATGAAAATCAGCTGTCTCTCTCTTCTTCTCTTTCATATTGACTATTTGTTGCATGAAAGTCTTTATTTGTTTAGAATAAATCAAATAACTTTATTGAAAGATTGTATAAGATATTTGACTAAAAGAATTTTTTCTTTTGTAAATTTACGTATGACGATAGTAAAGAAGAAAAAAAAAATCTATAGACACAGCTGGTCGAATGATGTGATTAGTTTCCCACCTTGTTTTGATGTTTTGTTTTTTCTTGTTTTTTATCTTTTATTTTAGATTTATCTAGTTTATAACGACGTATATCGTATTTTATCAAGATATTTCCTGTAATATATACGTAGTTACTTTTTGAGTAAGGTCTCCTTGACAAAGAATTATTTAATAAAGAAGTACCAAATAAATGTATTTATTAGTGTTAAGGGTATTCATCCTGAACAATGTGGTTTTTTTGCTACCGCAATAATTATCTGTTATCACAATTACCTTTTTCTTTTTCTATTCCTATATATATAAATATATATTTGATATAAAGCACGTAAATGTGATCATTTTTAACTATCTGTATGTCTCTTATTATTTTGTGTATGTATTTGAGGATGATATTTCGACGACGTATCTTTATAATGACGTCCTTGCTCGATCATTGACACAATTCGTTGTCGTAACTTTTTTTTTTCGTCAACGACAACGACACAAAAAAAAAGAAAACGATAGAAGAAGATGCGTGAACCATCAACTGAAGGGCACGTACACACGCGCGCGCGCCTATACCATTCGATCACTATCAAAAATGAGTTGATGGCGACTGTGCAAATGAAAAACCTTGAGAATGTTTTGCTTTTTATGTCTATTTTTATTCGACATTACTTTGATCAAAATTTATAGAGCGGATTATCAACTAAAAACAATAGAAAAAAAACAAAAGAAAAGAAAAAACGATTCAGTTGAAAAATCAATGTCTTTCATTGATATATGTGAATAAATATTATATTTCTTATTCTTATATGATCCTTTTTTGGAGGCGTATCTCATTTACGGATGAATAGGATGACCCGTCTCGTTCTAATAAAAAGACATTTTATGATAAGGACGTTCGCGTAATCGAACAAGCTGGATTCTTCTTTTTTTTTTTTCTTTCTCTTTCTTTCGTTGTTTCTCGATTGATCTTCGCCAGATGATGTGCACATTTCTAACCCTTTCTCTACCACTAACCAATACTTCTACTATAATTATAAGACAGATAGGATTCCTCCTTCTCCTCAAAAAAAAAACAGATAGTATATCGTCTTACTAATAAATAGAGAATACACCACGTACATATAGCTTTTAAGGTTGGATTACTTTTTTTTTTTGTCATTGGAACCAAAAGAAAAAACCTGCATATATATGCTTAAATTGCGTAAAAATAGGTTTTTTCCCATGCAACATATGAAAATTTCAAGCATTTTCGTTATATTTGCGTCATGTTTTTTTTTACTTGCGAAAGAACAGTATCATCTCATTGCATGATTACGTTTATTCTTTTCGTTCTCTTGTAGATCATTCGCACACACACACACACACACTCTCACACCACATATCATCTAATCTATTCAAATCAACGGTGTGTGTTACTTTTGTTATATTGCTCTTTTTGATTTTTGCTTTTTTGGGAAATCTTTGGCTTAATTTTTTAAATTTCTTCATATAAAATATTCATATATGAATTATTATCAATTATATAAATCTTTTTTTTCTTAAAAGGTATGTTTTTTTTTATGATCTCATTAAAGAAAAAAACAAAAACAAAAATAACCTTCAAATATAGATATAAAGTTTTCCATATATATATATAGAATATGTTTTTGTATTTTCGTTAAGATTTCCAACTTTTTTTTCTTATTATAATATTGAGACTCTAGACAGAACGACTATAAATATGATATTGACATTAGGGTATACAACGTACATGCACTTCATGCACATAATGTTCTTTCTTTCTTTCTCGTATGAAAACGTTTACAAGCTAATGAAAAAAAAAATCGAGTTGGCGACAATGACGAGAAGAAGAAGAAGAACATACATCACAAACATAGTAAAAGTGTGCAGGACCGATTTGCATGCCGATAAAAAGAACTGAGCTGAAAGAAAAGAATAAGCAGAATGTATATATATATATATATTAAATAAATAGATAAATATATATATATATTTACGCATTCTTTCAGAAACTCTAGACATTTATCGAATTAATCAAAATCAAATTTAAATGGTAACGAGATTTTATGTAAGTGTTCTTGTAAAAAGTAACTTCAACAATAACAAAATTTGATTGAAAAATTTATCCAAAAAAAAAAAATAAAAAATAATATTAGCCTTGAAATCTTTTTTGTTTTAAATATGATTAATATATTGGAGTGGGGGATAAAAAGTCGTTAATCTGTTTCCTATTTTTGTATTGTATTGATGCGTCATTGTATATTCCTGTATATGAAAATAGTATGTACATATAACCATATACGTATTCTTGCATGATACTTAATGAAGTGGGTGGGGTCGCATGGTCGACTCAAACTACTTTTTTTTTTTCTTTTCCTTTTGTCACTTTATCTGTTCTTAGCAAAACGACTAGAAAAAGAAAGCAAAAGAAGAAGAGGTGAGAACGAAATAACAATATTGTTCTGTTTATCATTTTTATTGTTATCTTATACAGATGTGTAGCAATATGTTTTATTTTTCTTTTAATTTGCTGTCGTTTCTTGCCACTGACTTCTATTATTTTATGAATTTTAGAAACATTCCTATAAAATTCTCCCTATATATATATATAAAATACTGATAATATCAACTGTACTTAAATGACAAAAAACAAACATATTTATAGTTAGTAATTAATCATTAACAAATAGTCTATTCATTTCAATGATTTGCTTTCCTATTTCATTGGTTACAAATGTTTTCATATAGTTATTTATTAGATTGAGCTGATTTTTCATATAAGATACGATGTCATTAAAAGTGTTTTTTTTTTTCTGTAATTAGTTATGAAAAATCTAGAAGCAAAAATAAAACATATGTTCAGGTAATTTTCTTTTATTCAAGGTTTATCAAATAACACACATTTTATTTTATTTCTTCGATATTCTCAATAGAATTCTCTTATTAAGTAGATAAAATATGGACAATAGTTCTTGTTCTTCTTCGTTTTTTTTTTTTTTTTCTTTTCCTTCTTTCTCTTTTCTTGACAATGTATATACATATATACATATAATAACGACAACAGCAACAACATAAATCGTGCGTTTGATTGTTGTCTGTATTCTTTCGACGAACAACAGCAGCAGCAACACCTAACATATTACGAGAGAAAAGAAGGTAGAGGAAAGCAAAATGGTTAGAGAAAAGCAAAAAGAATCTGTCTTTCTCGTTCTTTCTTTTTTTTTTTTTTTTTTTTCTTTACCCTATATGTGATGCTCGATGAGAACTGACGCACATCGCGTACGGCGGCTGACTGCCCTCTTCTCTCTCTATTTCGAACACTACTGCATCTCCTATCCGTATGATTAGGTGAAAAAAAGAGAGTAAAGAGACGATGCAATTTTTCTCTTATTCTATCATATATAGTCTTTTTTCTTTTTCTTCTTCGTTTTTTTTTTCTTCTTCTTTTGACTACCTTGAAAATATGATGACCATTATATGATGTTATTGTTATTTTAGCCATGGTGGTCGATATTGCTCAACAGCAACAGCTGACTGAGGTCTTCACCACTAATCATTGCCATCATCGATCATCGTCAACACATAGACGAAGTTCAACAACGATAAATAATACATCTTCATCGGTATCAAATAATGCAACAATGACGAATGGACATCGATATTTGGTAAGATTTTTTTTTTTATTTCGAATTTATTATTATTATTATCTTTTGTTTGTTTGTTTATTTTCATTAGTCTGATGAACTCGGCAAAAAAGCTGAACAAATTCTTGGACATGCAACTGCTTTTTTAGATTGTCGTAGACAATCAAGTATAGATTTTCATATTCAACATCCTCCTCGATTAAATATTACGTAAATATTTTGTTTTTCTCAAAAGAAAAAAAAAACGAAATGTATTTTAGTGAATCAAAATCGAATATACCATCACGTAGTAATATATCAAATACGGCTTCTTCAACTACTGTACATAATTCATTGATAACAACATCTACTCCATCGACTAATACAATTAATTCTGATAATTCGATTGGAGTAAGTTTTTTTGTTTTTTCGAAAAATTTTTCTTATAAAATTTTATTTAATTTATTTAGAAGAATAAAAATTTGGTAACTGTTGAACGTCTTGCTCCACTTATTTTACAAGTAAAGTTTTTTTTTTTTCTTCTTTCTCACATAATAATTAATGACTAAGAAAAAATATCTTTATTTTTAATAGCTAGTCGCAACACCTAAATTTATGAAATTACCTGAAACAATATCTAGGCATCAATCAAATTCAAGTAAGTGTGAAAAAAAAACAAATTCATAAAAACTATTTTCTCATTCTTATTTTTAGAACCTATAAAAAATGTTATGGAAAGGTAATTAAATTAACAATGAAGAAAAAATAAAAGCAACTAACAAATAAATCTTTTTTTTTTTCTTATCTATTTAGTCGTGAAATGACTCTTGCTTTACATCAAGAAAGTGTTCTTAAACTCAGTGATGATGAGAATGAAGAAGACGATGATGATACTATCAATCATACAAACACAGTATTGGCTGAAATAATTGACAATAAATTAGATAAAAACAACTTAAATCAAAATAATAGTAATGATAATCATCTTCCTCATTCATATGAGAATCAAATGTAAATAGAAAAAAAAAAAAAACAAAAAACAAAAATTAACTTTCTTTTTATTTTTATTTTAGTGAACCCCAACATTCCGGTATAAGTAGTAGTCCGTGTCAAGAAGAAGATGGAGACAGTGAAGCTGAAGACAGTGATAATCAAGAGACTGCCCACAGTGATGCCGAGAATGATGATGGAACAAATGAAACGGTTTGTTAGAATATTTAATTTTTATCTATATGATAAGAAAAAGCAAAAAAAAAAAACTAAACATTCTTTTTCATTTTAGAATCCACATACATTTTCATTAATGGATTTTGTACGTGGAAAGGAAATAATACATTCTGAACCTGTTAATTCTTCATTAAAACATTCACCAAAATCATTATCAAATATAAATAAACGTAGTATATCACCTGAAATAAAACGTGATAATAATAATCATGTACATAATTCTGAAGAACATCAAAATAAACGTAAAAAATTTCTTATCAAACGAGCATTATTAAAATCATTTATATCATCTGTAAATACTAAAATTAATTTAAAACGACCTTCACTTTCAATAACCATTCCGACACATCTGTTTTTGGATCAAACATTATCTGATTCTATAAAGCAAGAAGGTCTGTGCAAAAAACAAAAAAAAACCAAACTATTTATCTTTTTCTTTTTGTTTTTTCTAAATAGTTGATCAACATGTTGAACAACCACAACGAATATCAAAACGATACGCTGATGGTTTACTTAAACATGATACAAATGCAGATGTTATCGATAATTTATCTTCATTAAACAATCAAACAAATACAATAAATGGTACACATCTAAAAAAAAATAAAACTAGTCATCATGTACAAGAAAAATCTATGTATAAGCAAGAATCAACAACTATTAATTCAACAACAATAGAAAAGAATGAGCCAATTATAATTTGCAATACAACTTCAACAAATGATATAGATAATAAAATTCGTCCAACATTAGTACCACCACCACCACCAACAACAACAACAACAATAACAACACCAATTAGTAATTCAATAATACCATCACAACCTAAAAAAGAAAAACCAACAGCTAAGTAAGTTCAATTGAAAAGTTCTTTTTCGAAATATTTAGTTTTAAATTGATAAAAAAATTTTATTTAAAATACATTCGAAATACTCAGTTGCTAGATAAAGATTCATTGAGTCTCAATTATCCTCTACTTGTTGATTCGTTTACATAATCATTCGCAGGTCCATTTCATCCATATCTAGTCTTTAATAGTGACTCGAAATGAAATTATCATATAGATTAAAGATGGATAAAATGATCTTTAGACAAATTGTTTTGATCTATTTATCTAAAACTTTTTATTTATTTTTCTTTTCATTTTAGTGTTAAACCACTTCAACAATCAACACCAATTGATAATTTATCTTCAACAAATTCAATAAATAATGGTATAAATATATCTGAAAATTTAACAACAACAAGTACACGATCAATGCTTCCATCAACAAAAGCAAACTATACAAAATTAAAGTATTATTATATTTTTCATATTAAACAATAAAAAAAAAACATTTTGTATATTTTAGAAATATGTCAAAAACAGATTTAGCTTCATTAGCACGAAAGAAAAAGAAACAAGCTGATCATGGTAAACGAACAACATTTGAAGAAGCACGAGAAGCTATGGGTTTATATCTTGAATCAGTTTGTTATTTTATTCAATGTGCTAATGATGAACCAAAACAAGATCAACGTACTTCATTATTAACAACAACATTAACTATGCTACAGTAAAACAATAAAAAAAAAGGAAATTTTTATTTTATTATTATTATTATTATTTAGACAACTTGCACAAAATTATAAAAAAATGTTTTGTTTATCAAATTCAACTCAATCACGTGATTTATATAGTCTTCAACAAAAATTTCTTTTAATTAAGTAAGTAAAAAACAAACAAACAATATCAAATTCTTTATTTTTGAAAATAAATTTTAGTTATTGGCTTCAATCATTTATTTATCATTTACAATTTAATACAAATATGCCAACTATTGAACGATGTGCTAATCAAGTAACGGATTATTTTACTCAATTAAAAAATCCTTCATCAGCTGCATCATTAATACGAACAACAAATATGAATATCCAACAACAACAACAATCAACACTTCTTAATGATAATAATCCTATATCACCATTATCAACAACATCACAAGCAAGTTCATCAGATATAAGTACAACAAGTGGAAATAATCAAAATGAACAACATCGTTATATATATGATTTTTCAAAATTAATGTTAAATTCATATTATTCAACATATTATTGGAATAAAGCTGAAAGTTTAATGCATGAAAAACCATTGAAAGGTAATTAATAACGAAAAAAAAAAACAACAGAAATATTATTTTTCATTGAATAAAAAAATAAATAAAATATTTTTTTTTATTTTTTCATTAGAATTTATTGAACAGTTGTTGAAACAAAATCAAAATCGACGTTTAACTCGTGATGATACAACATTAGACTTTATATTGTATATTTTTGATGCCATCGAGTTGTTACGTTTAAGTGTTGCTTAATATGAAAGAAAAAAAAAAACAAGAACATATCCTCCGTGCTTTCTTTCTTCCTCAAACTTTGTATATCTCAGTCTATTTATTTGCCTTTTTTTTCTCGTGCAGTGCGCGCACATAATGTCCTTCTTTTTTTTTCTCTTTTTTTTTTTTACACATCTCCCTTAGACAGTTTTTTTTTGTTCTGTTTTGTTTTTTGTTTTCTCAAGCAGCTGATATCTATTTTTTGCGCTTTAATCTTATATATTCATCTTCCAGTTAAGTTGAACATCACCATACGTATATATATTTAAATGTATGTATACTCCGGTTCAGTTTGTTTCATTTGTGTGTTTGCTTTGTTTATGTATGTATGTGTGTGTATGCGTGAATTGATCTCGATTTCTATTTTCCTTGAAGTTGATGATTCCACTCTAGTTATGTAAATGTATATCTTAACAAAAAAAAAAAACAAAAAAAGAAACTTAACTATTATATAAGCCATTTGACACTTGTTGTTTGTGAAACAGAACAACATTGATACACACCGGAGAGTTTTTGCTCGTTTCCTTTTGTTTTTTGCTAGTTGTATCATGTGCTTGCCGTGTTACGCATATTTTCTTATGAAACCTGTTTTTTTTTTCGTCTGACTAATTTTTCATTTCTTTTTTTTCTGTCTTGTCTTTGTCTTTATTTCTCTGGAATGTAATGTTTTGAATGCGTGTATGATGATGAAACATAGAAAGCACTATAGCCGGAAATCATTTTGTCTTTCCTCATATCTTTAAGTAGACATGTAGTTCTTTCTTTTCTATTTCGAAACATTAAACAATATAAATACAATCGACAACTCCGGTGGTTGATTATTTTCCCTTTGGTACTGCTGATATAAATCATTTTAGAATGTCCTCAATCTTAAACAAAAATAAAAACCCATACACTCTATCGTATTTATATATGTATATGTCTTTGTCTTTGTGTCTTTTGGTTTTTCTTTCTTTGTTTTTTTTTTCATGTGTCTTTCACAAATCATCAGATCCTTTTTAACACTATATCTATCTATAGGCTATATCTATCTATCATATCTCTTTAAACGTGCTTGTGTGCACATGATGAGTTGCTGTTTTGTATTTCCTGCCTGTGTCTATTGAAGTTTAAGAAATGTCTTTATTCTTGTTTTTTGTTTTTTTTTTTTTAGAAGAAACTACCATGAAAAAAAACAAAGGAGTGTTTGCAATTTGTTCTTGTTATTGATGTTGATTTTTTTTTTGTTGTTCTTGTTCTTATTTTTTTTTCTCTTTTTGGTCATGATTGATATAAACAAAGAAAAAAACAAACATAAAAAAAAAAGAGCCAATGAAAAAAAACTCGGATGAACAACTTGTCTTTCTTTTTTTTTTTTTTCTTTTATTCGTACATTTTCACTAATCACCTGAATATCTACTATATATACTGACGCATATTACAAATAAAAAGTAATATATATATAAGCATGATAGCATTACATTGTAATTGTGTAAGAGGTAGAAAGCGTATATAACAATTTTCTTTTGCGTGTTTTAGATTCTGTCCTTGGCGTAAATAACACTCGATCATGACGCGTGGCAATCAACGGTAAACTAAATTAAATTTATAATTATAATTAGTAGTTTTAGATTATTTACTTTTTTTTTAGCGATCTTGCGCGTGAAAGAAATGTAAAAAACCAAAAAGGTAAAAATGTTGCGTCTGCTGAACAGGAGGCCAATAAAGGTTTGTCATTACAAGAACGTCAAGCACGTGATGCAGCAAAGTAAATTGTTAGACATGTTTATGATAAAAATGAAGTTAATTTCTTTCCTATTTAGAATGCGAGAAAAACAATTATCAGCTCAACAAAAAAAGGCAGGCGGAGATAATGATGGGGGTAATAATAATGCATCTGGTGGAGCAGGAGCAACGGCATCAGCTCGTTAAATAAATCAAATTATGGTGAACATCAATTCAAATTGAACTTTTTTTTTTTTTTTGAAAATAATATATCTTGTTTCTCTTTATTTATCATTGTACTCATATATTAACATCAACTTATTCTATTTGATATAAAATCAATAAGTTCATGTTTTTGTCCTTGTTCTATATAAACTAAAACAAAGCAATATGAATAGTATATATATATATCTAGTATTGTTATTACATTTAACTAGACAAAACTAAGAAAATATGAATTGACTAAATTTTTCTTATAGATTTTTATAATTAATCATAACGAAAGTTTTGATTTTTCATTGTGATATGTTTAACATTTTGATAAACTTTACTACATCATCATGATAAAAACAAATTATATTAAAGTATAATATTTTTTCAATTTAATTATTCAAATAGATTTTAATTAAAAAAAAACATCTCATAATCGCTTAGTTCCATTTAGAATACAAAGCAAATTGATTTAATAAATTTGTTGAAATCTATAAAATTGAAATATTTTTCTATAATCATTTGATTTGAATGAAACAACTTTGCATTCATGAGGAAACTCTTCCAACTGATAAACTCAATTCAAGCTCATATTTTTAATGATTTTTACAGTCCAATGTTTAGATAAAAATCCCAAAAAATGAATTATGCCATTAGTACTTTCTTTTTAAATTATAATCATTTTACTGAATTTCCAGCCTAGTCCTGGACTAGTCGTAAATTTTACCAGGAAATAGATCGCATGATTCTTAGGTTTCCTGAAAGTTTCAGCAAAAACAGATCATTTTTTTCTCGAGATATTGTATACTTAAAAAATACTAAACTTACTCAAATCTTTTGCGAGAAACCAACGGTTTTGCAACTCTGTTATCTTGATACAGAAGCATCGATTTTCGTTGAAACGTTCAGAATAGTATAAGAATCATGAGATCTATTTCTGAGTAAAATTTCAGTCTAAATGTCTTTAATTTAGTTTTCTTCGTAATATCCTGCAAATGACGAAAAATACTAATGGTATGAATCCTTTTAAAACTTTTACTAGTATCATAGGCTCTAATAATCAGCAAAATATGAACTTGAACGAAGATTATCTGATGGAAGATTTTCTTGATCAAATTAATGCGACACGTGAAATAAAATTGAACGAAAGAGTTCATGAAAAATTTTTTATCTGTTGATTCATTTTTTTTTTGTAACGAATTGAAAATTTTTAGTAAAATCCAAATTTTACCTGAAAATATTCTTCAAATAATGTCATAATAATATTACTATTCAGCTGGATAAATTTCACACCAATCATGTAGAAAAATTTTTAAAAAAAGCATAATTATTTTATCTTTTAATTTTAATTTAATTATTGATATCAAATTTTATTTTCTTTCTAGTTTATTTTTATTGAATGATTAAATCTTTTTTTCGTCGTAATAAACTTTTTCTCCTCAATTTAACATCTGCATCTGGACTTCTAGCTAGCAGTGATCTATTCGTCCAAATTTTCTACGAAAAAAAAAAAGTTTTAGATAATAAACGTCTTCGTATGTATTTAATCTGTTTTTCTTTTTTTTTTTTTCATTGAATTAAAATCAATTCTTCTTTTATTATCAAATTCTAGTCGCCGCATTGGCTACTGGAGCAGTAATGGGTATTGAAGGTCATATTTGGTATGCATTTCTTGATCAATTTATAGTTCAACGAACATGGTCTAATGTTTTTAAAAAAGTCTTTCTTGATCAAACCATCGGTGCACCTTTTTATACACTAACGTATATTGTTGGTAGGAAAAATATTTCTAACATCTATTAGTATATTCATGAACAGTTGATCATTTTTGTTTTTTTGTTGGAAAAACTTCTTTTTATCAACTTTCTTTATGTTAGCTTGATGAGAAGTGGTTGAAAACGAGGTTTCATCGAACAAATTTGCCGAATATCATCTGATATGATAGAGATTCGGAATGTTTTCTTAGAACATCTAAAGAAAGTTCAACCAATGATTTCAAGCTTTTGTTAATTTATACGTTGCCCATAGGTAAAGAACAACCAAAGGATTCTTCTTTGTATTAAGATTTGATCCGGATATGAATATTTCAAAACACGCGAAGGATTTCCATGTTTTTATTATTTTCTAAAAATACTGTGTACTGCAACATTCCTATCAGAACTCTACCTGGCATGGAATAAGATACTTCTAAAAATCTTGCGTCCTGTCCCTTCCCCATAGGACATCATGTTCGTCAAATGGTTTTCCAAAAGGGTGAAATTTATTAATACATTCGTTTGATTAATTATACAAAATATTATAACACTGAGTTGTGGGCGAAGGTACTTTATTTTTGTATGGAGAGCTTAAGGGAATTTCCTGTTTACATGCACTGATAGTAAAAAAAACCAAATGCTCTATTTTTCTGTAACATTCGATCATTTTTCACAACTAATATCACAATAATAAAATTTCGATAAGAGCTATTTTTTTATGATATGTGATAATAAAATTAAATCATATTGTCATCGATGAGTATTTTCCTTTTTATGCTTCTCTTTGTTAATGCTGATATGTTCTTCTCTCACACTCATCATTAAATCAGATGCATCAGATTGGCACTCAACAACAGACGATGATGAATCTTCTGAAGACATTTCATTAGTTATTACTAAAATCTTAATCAATTCACTGTTTATAACTATTAAAATAGAAAGAATTGCGTCTTTTATTTATTAATTTACTCATTATTATCCATTTTACTGTGCTTGCTGTAATGTCTGCAATGCCTCCTAATCAATTACTAAACCGAATAAAATTTTATTTTCGCTAACTCACCTGAAATAGACAAGAACGCCATCTATATAAAAAAAAATAGCTATATCTTTTCTTATTAAAAAAAATGTTTATGTACGTAGTTGTTTGTTCCATGGGATGGGATGGAACTACCCTATCTTATGCAAAATCCTGACTTCTATTATGGTCAAAATTCAATAAAAAAAAAGAAGAATCTTTTGGAGGCCCTAATAAGCTAGTGGTTATCTAGTTATGGACAAACTATGAGTTCAAAAAGTTTGAAATCATTGATGAAACCTTCTTTAGACATGCCTAAAAAAGAAGTAGTCCATGTCTCTGTCTTTTCGCGTCTTATAAAAAGAAGTTTTTCAAAAAAGAAAACATGATTCTAGACAATTCATGGATTTACTTATATACATTTTATTGAAAATTCTTTTCTAATTATCAAGGAACTTCTGTTCTCGAAGGAAGAACATCATCTCGAGAATTAATAGGTGACATTCAAACAAATTTTCTTCCACTTTATCTCGTCGATTGTTTTATATTTGCACCTATTCAAATAATAAATTTTAAATATATACCACCATTATATCGTGTTCCATTTTTGTCTCTTATTTCATTCATTTTTGATGCCTTTATTAGTGCTTATAAACATCAACATCAAGAAATACATGTGCATGACAATCTGAAATAGTTTGTTTTATTTTCTTTTTTCTTTTTTGTGTATGCGCCATAGTTTTGTTCAAGTTAAGCAATATTTGTTACTAACCGATAAATGATATTGTAAACAACATATATTTTGATTAAATAGCAATTTCGATAGGACAATTTATATGAAATAATATGTTATGTTTTTTTTTATTGATGATTTTAGATTATATGATAAATATCCTATTGGAATCTATATTAAAAGTTTTAGAGTGATATAAAATTAGAAATACATCGATTCCTAGAACATGATGTCAAAGATGACATTTTTTTCCCTTATGAAAAATGTAGTTTCTGTGGATTATTTATATCAATCATAACCAAGTTTTTTTTTGCTCTGTCAGAAGCTATAGTCGAAATTCATGAAATATAAAACAATAGTTTCGAAATTAATCAAAAATTTGCATTTTTTTTTCTAATCAATTCCAATTGATATTCACATCTGTGTTTGACAAAACCTAAGAATAGTTTCGGAAGAAGTGTTCAAAACTGATTACAACTAGCATGAAGAATCACTAGAAGTCTGGTAATTCTCAATACTGAGCATGTGTTTTTTGTAAGAAGGACAAAATCATTTCTTGAAATTTCTCATTGGACTTTGGAATATTTTCAGTCAAAAAAAAGTAAAAATTGCGAGTTCTCAACTATTTTCGAAACTTTTGTTTCGTATTTCATGGATTTCGACTACAGGTATGGATAGAACAAAAACTATAGGTTGATATTGTTAGCTCTCAATCATTCATAGAAATTAAATCAAAGAATTAATATTCGAATCAATATTAAATAGTTCATATAAAAGTATCATATATCGAATTGGAAACTACAGCCTTCATAAAAGTTCTGCAACACTTAACAACAGTTCTTCAATAGTTTATGTTTCAATTAGTTCTGAATGTAAGTATATGTTTGGCATTATTATTGAGTAAACTTTAATGTTTTATTGAATAAATAAATCATTGCTATTAATATCCAGTGACAAAAAATTTTTGGGACACTTTTCTTTCTAAGTGATTTTTCGCTGGAAAATGCTCGTGATTAAAAGGAAGCTGTTAAAAAATCTACTGTGAAAGAAGAGAAATCATCTTGCTTTTTTTTTTTGCTCATGTTGAAGAGCAGAATAAATTAGATAAAACAATACATTTTCGAACTTTCTAACATATTAAATAAATGCACTGAACGATTCTTCTTACCTTTTTTCACGTAAAAATATTTAAAATATTTTGAAATTTTTATTTCTTTCCAGATTGTAGTACATTGTTTGATGTATTCAAAAGTTCGAAAATGTGTTGTTTTGTTGAATTTATTCTACTCTTCAAGATGTGCAAATAAAAGATGTAATTTCTTCTCTTTTACAGTAGGTTTTTAATAGGAAAGAATATCCCTATCTTTCAGCTACCTTGTGATATGGATTGCTGCCTAGCGACAGATACAACAGTTCGATATCTTTTCTACAACTATGACTAGCTGTAGCTCTAGACAGAAGATCGACCTGACGCAGAGCTCTGGTGCTCTCCATACACACTAACTGACCACAAGAACAGATCTATATCACAGCTTAGTCAGTATGCTATTGGACGGCGACTGGAGACACATAGTCATCAGTGACTTGTCCAAGGTCATTCCATGACCGATGGGACTGCAATTTGCACACAGCACCTAGTAGATACGTATCGAGCAACGTAGCCACGCAACTCTAACGACTAGTCTTTTAACAGATTCCTTTTGATCACTATCATTTTCCAGCAAAAAACCTCTACCTACAATGATCTTCAAAACGAAAACATCTCTACAATCGTCTGTTTTTCAAATTCTTTTCATTGATACTACTTGCAATTGAAGAGAAGTTAATAGGCAAAAAGAATGAAAAATGTGCCAGAAATTTTTCTTCTTTATCGCTGGATGTTTTATGCTTGATACTATTTTTCTGGCATCAAATAGTAATGATTCGTTTGTTCAATAAACTATAAAAGCTTGTCCAATAATAATACCAGACATATGCTGATATTCAGAATCAACTTAAACATAAACTATTGGAGAACTGTTGTCAAGTGTCTTTGAAATTTTTGCTAATATTCGACTATGAATATGTCAAATTAATTAAAGTTTTCAAATTTTATCTCTCTTAATAAATAATATAGTTAATTTGTAAGGTAAAATTATTTTTAGATATAAAAAATGTCAAGCGAATCAATAAATGATGATCAGGATTGTAATGATGGTTCATGTCAATGTGGTCTATTTCGTCTTCTTCCACCTGAAATTTGGTAAATAATTGTTTGTAATATCTATCACTATTTTCTAAATATTTGCTTTTTTTTGTTTTTGTTTTATTCTAGGCTAAATTTATTTAGTTATATGTCAGCAGAATTTATAATTGAAAAATTTAGTCTAGTTTGTAAACCACTTCGTAGATTTATTCTATTATCTCAATCATATTGGAAATATCGATATGAAAGACGTGTTCGAGCACCTTATCGATCTATACCAAATATAAATGAGACATGGGTTAATGTTTGTCATCAACTTGAACGTACGGGACATGAATGGCAACAATGTGCTGAACAACATCATAATGTACTTTCTATATCAGGTGCTCATATTGGTCCAATAACTGATACAATTCTTCTTGAAGTATATTTTTTATATATTTGTTTTATATTTGAAATTTTTATTTTATTTTTTATTTAGAATGGTTATACATGTGTAACAGGTAGTCGTGATTCATCAATATGTTGTTGGGATTTACGACGATTAGTTCGACCAGAAGAAACAAAATTATCGAATGCATTTGGTTCACCATATATATTTAAACGAAGTCAAGATCACCAACAAGTTATAAATAAATTTTAAATTTTTCAAAAGAAAACATATTTATTTGTTTTTTTTTTGTATAGCGTTGGATTTGGTCACTTGATCATGAAGGAAATATTCTATCAAGTACATCATCAAATTCTGAAATTCGTCTTTGGGATATAAATGAAGAAATGCGTGAAATATTACGAATAAAGTATATATCATATTTCATCTAATTAAATGTAAAAAGTAAATTTTTATTTGTTTATTTTTTTTTAATACAATAATAAAAAAAAAAGATTACAAGCAACATTTGCAATGACACATCGACTTCGAAATTCATTACTTTATGCTGGTGTATATAATGGTCATTTACATGTTTATGATACAAGAATAAATAATACAGAAACAAATAATACACCTATACATATTGAACGAGTAACACCAAGAGGTTATATTCATGCATTAGAATTACAAGATAATTATATTTTAATTATACATAAATCAAGTACATTATGTATATATGATCAACGAACATGGCAAAAAATAGAAAATGTTCCAGTATGAAAATATTTTTTTTTTTGTGCATAGACATATATTATAAGTCAATGTCATATTTTTCATATCAGAGACAGAATTAGTTTGTTGCTTTGACGATCGGTACCGATTCCATCTTTGATTCATATGATTTCAATAAGAAAATAATTCTTATTGAACTTTTCATAATTAGTCTTGATATTAATTCATTTTTTTTTTTTTTTTTTTTATTAAAATTTTAGTTACACCTTGGTGAACGTGTTTCATCATATTATAAAAATTCACTTTTATTTCTTGGTGATACTGAAGGTTTTGTACATATATTTAATTGGAAAAATGATCATTGTGAATTTGTCGAAGTATATGATTTTATTTTTGAAATTATAAATCATATTTAAAAATAAATATTTCAATTTAAGAAAATTCGAACTGAACATAGTTGTCCAATCACAGCATTATCTCATAGTCGAGGTATACTTCAAACATGTACAGCAGCAACCAAAACATTAGCTATCGATCAACTTTCAACTCCTATAAAACATCTTGCTAGTATTAAAGCTGATACATTTGATCAACATATTTGTGTAAGTTAAAAAATAAAATCAAACTTGTTTTTTTTTTCATATTAACAAGGAAATCTTTTCAAGTGATTAATCGTTTTTGAGTTTGTATTTTATGGATAAGATAGACTTCCGTGAAGTATTAAAAATCCTCTTAACTTCCATCACGAGAATTATAACCATTTTATTGATCCAAAAAAACACTCAAATCTCAAGAAAGATACAAGATTTTCATGATTTTTATTTTTTGAATATTCAATATCAAACGAAGAAAACAGTCTTTTGAGAAGAAAATTTTAGGCCACAATGACGTCATTCAATTTATTGCTACATACCATGTCATCGGCAAAAAAAATCCTATTAATGCATTATGTAGAACCAAATAAACTATGAATACCTTCAAAATAGTTCAGACTCTGAGGTTATTGCTGACAAGGTATTGCACTTTTACGATAGTTTTTAAACGAATGCTATGATTCTCTTCAAAAATATCAGAAAAATTGATTTTACTTCACACTGTGCATAAAGACACATAATAATGAGAATAGTTTTTTGTGAATGTTTCAAATATTATCGTTGTTCTTATTCTAAGATATAGTTATAGTATTAGCGTGTCTTTTATACATTGCTCATATAAACTGGCAAATTTGATGTTCTTATTTCAGGATAGAAGTAAATCAAAAGATCTGAAACTTTTACAATACACTATTTTCATTAAGACTTATCTCTGTACAAAATTTCAAGTTAAAATTCGAACACATTAGTTTTTCTGGTGCTCCTGTAGGAAGTACCGTATTCATTTAAAAACTACTGTAAAACGAAATATCTCAGTAGCAATAAGTTAAGAGCCTGAACTGTTTTTTCAGGATATTCATAGCTCACTTGATTCCAGATAATGCACGTAGTCTTGACTAAAAAGCGATCTATAAGTTGAAAGACTTCTCTCGTAAGAGAACTAATCCATTTTGGATTTTTCATATGTTTATTACAGTCTATCATACTCATAGAGTTCAAATTCAAAAACGATTAATCACTTGGAATGAATTTTTTTTTGTAAATTTAATTGTTTATATTAAGATGGATGCACATGATAATG